TATTATTTTTTTATGTGTATGTGTGTATTGCCTGCATGTAGGTAAGTGCACCCATTCATACAATGCCCTTGGAGAACAGAAGAGGCTGTTGGATCCCCTGGGACTGGAGTTATGGACAGTTGTAAGCTGCCATGTGGGTGCTAGGATTTGAACCCGGATCTTCTGCAAGAACAACCAGTGTTCTTAACCGCTGAGCCATCTCTCCAGCCCCTAAAACTTGTTTTTTTAAAAAAAACCTGAATCACTTTCACATACAGAACAAATTAGAAACCATCTGCAGTGCAAACAGTGCCCTTAGTGCAGGGTGGAGATTTGAAAGGAAGCCCAAGTGGCTCTTGTGACTTGGTCCTGGGACAGAAGAGGAGGTATGACATAGTATTCCGCTCTCAGCAGAGCATGACGAAAATAAATCTTTCCATAGACATTGCTTAGGTTGACAGTTTATTAAATACTACATTTATACCTTGTTCTGTAGTTCTTCAGATTGTTCACACATAGTCTTGGTAAAAACATACTTTATAGAAAACTAAAATGAAAATCAGAACACACATATTGCACACGGATAAACTGCTGAATTGCCAGGAGTTTTTAAAATTTAATCTGTACAGATGGTCATGAAGAATTAGGTGGCTCGATTTTTCTTAAATCCAGCATCAATCCATGATTTCAAAAGCATTAATGCTGAAATGCAGATACAAAAACATCTAATAATGAAATTGTGTAATAGAGTTTGGTAAACGGAATGAAACAGTGTTTTTCTTTTACAGATAATTTTTAAAATCCACTCTCTATGAACTCTTTCCTTTTCAGGTCATTAGTTGTACAGGTATTTATTTTTAAAAAACAAAGGAACAAAAAAAAAAAAAAAAAACAAAAAAAAAACCAAAAAAAAAACCACCACTAGAGCTTTTTATTTACAGAACATGCAAAAAGAGGGTGTTATGTCAGTGCGACTGCAGAACTGGCTTAGGATGAGGGCGGCTGAGCGATAGTGTGCCTTCGCCTCTACAGACGCGGTCCTGCCCTACTTGCTGGAGGAAACACATTTTTGAGGCTTGGACCATAAATCGTGAGACAATGCAAAGACAGAAGCAATGAAGTTTGCAAATCCTTTATATTTGCAAGTGTTGAGACAACAATCTGAACGCCGAGGTTACCTCTAGCGTCGAAACCAGAGCCAGCTGTTTAGCAGCCAGAACGCTACAGTGATTGAATACATGACCATTTCCCTCTTAGCTCGCTCTTTATTCTCCTCTTCCAGAAGCTGCAGACGTCTATTTAGTTTGATTATCTAAGTAAAAGACAAACATAAAATACAAACAAAATAATATTAATGCATATAACAATCGGAAGTAGTGTAAAATTTGTCAAATATTTACAAACAGAAAGTTCCATAAGAAACAAAATTAACACAGCTATAAATAGAAAAACTACTACCTGTAACATCTTAAATTCATTTAACTATGCTTCTTCATTTCCTGTCTTTGCATTCTGAGTTAGGAAGAGTATATTTCCTACCTTACTGGTTAAGACTGTGATGTAACAACACTGTTGCCCATGTAACTATTCTGATGTGTAAGGTGGGTTTATCACATGAAAACAACATGGGATTCCTATTTCTTCCTGATCCTTCACGAACTTCATGTCACGGCCTCAGCTGTCTACTGTGTTCTGTCCACCTCTCTGAGCTGTTGTCTCTCAGACAGCAACATAATGACGTTTGCATTGGGCCTGTGACATGCCACCTAGACCTTCAGCTCTTCAAAGGCTGATGATTCCTTAGCCTCAGCCTTTATTGCATACCATTTGGGGGTGAACAACCGTTTTGTTAACCTGTATTGAAAATACTTTGTTTCACTTCATTTCCCCTACATATATTTGGCATATATAATGAGAACACCAAATATGTCTTATCTATGTGTGTAGAGTTTGTGACTCTAGAGTCAGTGGGAATATGTGTTAAAAATATGCATATGAAGCTATAGTTCTAGAATCAGGCTTAAGGTTAGGGTCAGGAAACGTGTGTAAAGACAATGAAAACTGAGAGCAGTGGTTTCCAAAACAAAGAAATCAAACATAGCAATAAAGGTCCCCAAAGTGACTGTTTCACATGTCAAAAGCCAAAGAAGTAATTTAGAACAAGACTGTTTGCTCACAAGTCAAGACTCTTTGTTACTGGCTAGAATTATATCAATTCATTTTGGTGGTAATGTTTTATGCTGACCAAAAATGCTTGGATGGTGGTTTAACAGATCTTTAATAAATCTGGGGGGAAGGGGGATCAATTATGGCTTATTAAATAGCCTGATGAATCATGGGATCCACAGAAGATAATAAAATCACATATGCTATCACTTTAAAATGTTTCCCCCAAATAGCCGTGGCTTACATGTCACCCGGTACATTACATACTTGTCGTCTTAATGAAGCTGCATCTCCAACAGTCACATCATCTGATGGTCCTTCAATTGTTGCGTCTATATTGGAAATGCCATACCTAGCAGATAGGACATGAAACTGCAAGTTAGTAACTGAGTAATTGTCCAGTCATGCAGCATGCTGTGCAGTGCTCAAAGAAGTATTCAGAAAGCTGGCACTAAATCACATACACATTTTACCATTTAAATTGACACTCACAAGAAGCTGAAGGCAACAACCATCTACAACCCTGGGAAAGTGAAATGAAATTCTAAGGATGTGAAGAAACCCTGACTGGACGTTTTTCAAGCCAGAGAGCAGTCACACTGCAGAAAGGACCTGACTGAAACGGCTTGAGAGCAGCCACTCTAGGACACAGCAACATGCAATTCTTAGTTTTGAAAGTTTGTTGGCTGTAGGGCCTTTGCTGGTTCTGACTTTAATTTATTTATTTATTTATTTATTTATTAGTGTGTACATGTGGAGGTGCCCTAAGAGGTCAGAAAAAGAAGGTGCTAGATCTCTGGGAGCTAGAGTTACTGGTGGTTGTGAGCTGCCTGATGTGGGGAATCAAACTTGGGTCCTCTGAAAGAGCCTGAAGTGCTTTTTGTTGTGTTAAAGATTTGTGTATTTTTGTTTTCTGTGTACGAGCATTTTGCCTGCAAGCATGTATGTGCACCACATACATGCCTGGTGTCCAAGGAGGCCAGAAGAGGGTGCCAGATCCTCTAGAACTGGAGTTCTGGGTGACTATGGGTCACCACGTGGGTACTGGGAACTGAACTCAAATCCTCTGAAAGAGCATCAACTGCTCTTAAGTCCTGAGCCATCTCTCCAGTCCCAACATACAAATCTTACACAGAATTATGTATGGACTATTTCCCTACATCATTCTGTAGACTGTGATTCACTGGCAGAGAAGGCAAAGCAAGCTGAAACCAGAAGACTGGTAGCTCACCTCTTGTCTCTGCTTTCTTTTGACATTCTTACTTCTGGTTTCCAATTACTTAATCTCTACTGTATTCACCCAGCACAGCAAGTATAAAATCTCCTAAATATATTTTGACACTTCATTGGCTAGAGAATTAGCTCAATAGTAAATAAGAGGTTAGCCGGGTGTGGTGGCACACGCCTTTGATCCCAGCACTTGGGAGGCAGAGGCAGGCGGATCTCTGTGAGTTTGAGGCCAGCCTGGTCTACATAGCGAGTTCCAGGTAGAGAGAGGCAATAGGATCAGGAGTTCAGTGTCATGCTTGGCTACATAGCACATTTGAGACCATCCTAGGCGACTGTCTCAAAAAGACCAAAAAAAATAAATAAATAAATAAATAAATAAATAATAAATAAGAGGCTATGTATAAAATAATAATGCTGGGAAGCCATTAAGACTATCTAGACAAAGAACATTAAATGACAGTTTTTGTTCAAATGCAGTCCCTTCTAGACGGGCACTCACTTAGGAGCAGAGAGTATTTTAGAGTTGGTATCTCATATATTCCAGACTCCCTTCAAAACTGCCAAATGGCAGTGCGTGGCCTATAGCCGTGAACCTTCTTGCTCAGTTTCCCAAATGTTTGGATTACAGGTACGCACTACCAGGCCTGGCTATCGGCACTCATTTTAAAGTAACAATAAAACTTGGAAAAATAAATATACAGAAAAGTCATTTCTTCCCTCTGTCTGGGTTTCTGTATTTTAAGAAAAGATTTTACTTTTATTTACATGTATGCATGTCTGTGTGAGTGTATGCCGTGTCGGTGCTCACAGAGACCAGGAGAGGGTGTCAGATTCCTTGGAGCTAGTGTTACAGGCAGCTATGAGCTACCTAATATGGGTGCTGCGAATTGAACTCAGGTCCTCTGGCAGAGCAGCGAACATTACATTTTGTTTAAATTTATTTTTATTTTATGTATATGGGTTATTTTGCGTGTATTTATGTAAGTACAACTGTGTCATGAAATGTTAGTGGAAGCCAGAAGAGGGCATTGGATTCCCTGAAACTGGAGTTACAGATGGTTGTAGCTGTCATACAGGTGCTGGGAACCAAACCCGGGTCTTCTGCAAGAGCAGCCAGTGCTTTTAGAACTGCTGAGTCACCTCTCTGGCCCCTTAAAATTTATTTTAATGAACACTTTTATTGATCTATTTTATACATCACACAATCAACCCATGTGCATATCTACCTTATAGTCTATATGGTTATTTTAGTGAAATGATATGGTAACCTTTTAGAATGTACAGAATATAAACGAAATTAAAATTTACCTTTATACTCTACAGGGAATTGGCACATGGATTACCTATGCTAACATTCCCAGCAACTCTCCATTACAAAAAGTAGCTTTACACAAAGGGATATGAAGTAGAATGACAGATTATATGTGTGTGTGTATACTATATATTATATTTTATTCAAGCATGCTAACAATATATTCAAAAAATCCTGTTTTAAATACTGTTAAAAATAATTCAAAAATACTTTGCTAGTTGCCATGTACTGATTCTAAACAATCTTCAACAATTTCTGACTTTTAGTTTCTTTTATGATAAATTAGCTCATTTTACATTAACAATGTCTTTCTTTTTGGAAACAAGCTACCTTAAAATACTTAAGATCAATGTGTCAGAGAACAAACTCAGTTTGTAAATAGATGCTGTAACTGTGGGGTTATGAACTGAGTCAATTGTTCTTTTAAACACTAAAACAGAACTATTAGTATTGGGGCAGAACTTGGCAGTAGAACATGTGCCTGCCCTGTGGAAGTCCCTGGGTTAGTCTCAGAACCACAGTAACATAAAACAAAAACAGCCCTCCTCCTAGAATTAGTGAAGGAAAAACAGGGACCAAAGATTCCTCTTTTCTGTATTTCATCTTCAAAGTACAATACTTTCCCATTTCCTGAGGTCAAGCAGGAAATGAGTAAGTGGAGGAGGAAGTGTCAAAGAACAGCAGCAGAGGCTTACACCTAAAGGGTAGCTGGGTGACAGCTCAGCCAGCACAGTGCAAGGGTGAGGACCCAAGAGCCCCAGAACCCAGATCACAACAGCAACAGGGGCTGGGGAGACGGCTTAGCAGTTAAGAGCACTGTCTGCTCTTGAGTGGACCAGGGGTCAGTTTCCAGCACCCACACGGCAGCTGAAAACAATCCACAGCTCCAGTTCCAGGGGCTCTGATGCCCTGCACAGCATTGAATGACACAGGTGCATTTACACACATACAGGCAACATACTCATACACATAAAATAAAAATAATAGGGGGCTGGAGAGATGGCTCAGTGGTTAAGAGCACTGACTGCTCTTGCAGAGGATCCGGGTTCAATTCCCAGCACCCATATGGCAGCTACGAACCGTCCTTAACTCCAGTTCCAGGGGAACCCAAAGCCTTCTTCTGACCTTCATGGCATTGAACGACACGGGTGCACTCACACACATGCAAGCGATACACTCATACACATAAAATAAAAAATAATAAATAAAATATTAAAAAAAATAAAAATAATAAATAAAAAATATTAAAGCAAAACAAAACTGAAGCCAGGCATGGTGGCGCACATCTTTAATTCCAGCACTTGGGAGGCAGAGACAGGGGAATCTTTGAGTTCAAGACCTGCCTGGTCTACAGAGCAAGTTCCTAGCCAACTGGAGCTACAGAGAGACCCTGTCTCAAAAAGACCAAAAACAAACAAACAAAACCACCACCACCATCAGGCATGATGGTAGCCCACTTGTAATCCCAGTGCAGGGGAGACAGTGACAGAAGGATCCCTATGGCATACTAGCCAGTCTGGCTTCATCAACAAGTTCCAAGCCAAGTGAGAAATCCTGTCTCAAAAATCAAGGTGGACAGAACTTGTGAAATGACACCATGCTTGACCTTTGGCCTCTACATGGGTACTTTCTCCCCCATACACAAAAGTAAAAGGAACAGGCACCTGAGTACACACCAAGATACACAAACACACACGCACACACAGAATTGGCTTGAACAAAGAAATAAGGTGTATATAAAAGAAATTAGCATTTAAATCCTGAATTAACTAGTTTTAGAAATCTAAAGAAAATCTTCATCTCTGAAGAAATATAAAGGTGTGGGGGCTCGAGAGATGGTTCGGCAGCTGAGCCTCAGCAGGTTCTTGTAGACACCAGGTTCAAATCCCAGCACCCACACAGTGGCTAACAACCATCTGTAGCTGCAATTCCAGGGGACTAGATACCCTCTTCTGTCCTCCATGGGCACTGCACAACACAGGTACACTTGCATATATACATGCAATACATGCATACACATAAAATAAAAATAGAGCAAAAAAAATTTGAAAAAATAGGGTTTGGAGAGATGGCTTAGCAGTTAAGACCACTGTCTGCTCTTGCAGAGGACCTGGGTTCGATTTCCAGCACCCAGATGGAGGCTAACAACCATCTGTAATTCCAGTTCCGAGGGATCCAACGCCTCTTCTAACCTCCTTGGGCATTGCATGACATGGGTGTGCAGGCAATATACTCATACACACAAAATAAAAATAATAAATATTTGAAAAAAAGAAATATAAGGGTATGGCAAAAGACTTTACATTCAGCTTAAAACAAAAAAAAAAAGCTTACAAAATTATCTTAAACTAAATCTTTTGTCTATCAGAAGTAAAAACTCTTAAGTAATGCGAAGTCATACCAACCACCTGCTAAACAAAGCTAACAGGCTCGCTAACTTAGAGAAAGATGACAGGGAGACTAGACTCGATTAAATTAAGATGCAGAAGAGACAAGGAAACAGAGAGGTCAGGGGCCACCCAGGGCAACATGCATCTTTATTAACAGGAAAACTGATGGTTTCCCTCTTTTCTGGTTTAAGAATGTACTGGCCTCTTCTGATTAACGGAAATAATACCACAGTTTTAAATCTACTGAGACAGCTAACAAATTTCTACTTAAAATAAAAACTGGCTTTTGGAAAAATTAGAGTGACAGTATCTGTAAATATCAACCAGTTTCATTTTGTTTTTCCAGAAGAGAGGGTTAACTAAATGAGGATCTGGGCCCTGAAGAACCTGGCACACTTGGACATGCCACTCTGTCCTTGTGTGTGACTTGGGCTAAGTATATCTGTCAGTGTGGAAAGAGTAAAAAGAAGAGACAAAGGCTTAAAGCAACAGATGACAATAATACTCACTGTACATAAAACAAGATTTAAGGCTGTATTTTCTGTTTCAGCATGATCTCTTATAAGCTACTGAAGCTACCCTGCAGCAAAGGCTCTCAGATACTCATGCCATGCTCGCCATCACCATTCACTGTCATGACTCATCACCCTCCCTGTTCTTAGCACAAGGCAGGATTACTCATAAGATGAAGCTGCTGAGGATCAGGCTGTAACTTAGCCACAGCTATAACATGCATTACATCCTGCACAACATAAAGTCTATCAACTGTGTATGTCCCCTGGTAATTACAAAGTCCCAAAATTACCTGATGTTGTCATGATGAGGATTAGAAGTGGCGACTGCAGACCCACCACGCAACACAGGTCTAGGGCAGGTTTTTGCAGAAGGCACAAGACAGAATCAGGAAACAGAGAAGTAAGAAAATAAAAGCAAAAACAAGACAAATGTCAGATAGGATTATATTGTATGCTTCAATACAATATAATATCTCAACTGCTGTGGAAATCCTTGCTCCATACCCTCCCCATTTTAAATATTTTTCATGAATTTAACATTTCAAAATTAAAAAAAAAAAAAACCAAGGAAAATAATATGACACAGTAGCACCAACATATAACTCTCTATGGAGCTATGTTTAAAAAGCAGAATGCTTCTTTTCCAGTTGGGCAAGACCACCACCACTAACAACTCTGAAAGTGTTCCAGGAGCCCATTATGAGTAGCTGCATCATGGCTGCTCACTCTTATCAACAGCTGTCACTTCCACTATGGATTTAAAGAAAGTCCTTTTCCCTGTAATTCCTCCCACCCACTTCACTAATTCTGGTTACAAGTCTCGTCTTAAGGCAGCAGTGCTGCATTCAGCCCTTAGCTGAGCCTGGGAGGAACTGAGCTGAGGTCTGGGAAGACTACAGGAAGTATAAGCAGTACGGAGTCTGATCTTGAGACAACAGGAGAGTATGCAGGGCTCCAGCCTGACGGCTCAGGTGCACCAGAAAACTCTGTGGGCTTTTCATCCAGCGCACGCTTTGGTGCTGGAGAATAGACAGTTCTCTACCCAGTTAAGAAGGAACCTTTCCAAAAAATTTGCTAAATTTGAAAAACAAAAGCTCTACATTTCTGCTGGTCAACTGTCATTAAAATAACCAACAATATTTACTAACCAGAGATATGAGAAGGAAGTCCATGTCGGGATTTTTAAGATATTAAATCCTACTTTGAATGTCTCATTCTCAAAGTAACTAATGAGGCTTTGCCTCAGTATAAGCATAAAATCAATAATGAGATGTCTGAAAAGAAATGTTCTATTTTTTCTGAAGTTGGCACAACAGTAGACTATAAATCACTCTTTCCTTTTCTGTTCATCTCCTCTCTCTCCCTCCCACCCCTCTCTCCAAGATCTCATGTAGTTCAGGCTAGTCCTGAACTCTGTGCAACTGAAGATGACCTTGAATTTCTGACCGATTTTAAAAGGCACTAGGGATTGAAGTCAGGGCTTTTTGCACACCAAGCAAGCAGTTCACCAACTGAGCTACTGGCCAGACCTATAAATTACTATTTTCTGAGAACTTAGTTTGTAGAAGAAAACGTTAACGTTTTGCTTCTACATGTCCCAAAGCCACTACCAGTGCTAAGGGGGCTTCTGCAGCTTACAGGTAGGACACAGGGTAAGGCGTTCTGAAGGAGGCTCGTTAGGCTTCTTAACAAACACTGATAAATCACATTCTTCAGATAGGCTTTATACTCATCTTACAAACATCTGGTTTGCGAAAGAAGGAAAACTATCAACTTTAGTTACTTAAATTACACAAATAGACGAATGGCTAATAATAAGGCCAGTCCTGTGTGTGTGTTAATATGGCCAAACTGATTTGCCATACTGAATATATCCCACCACAAGATTTCCCTTTTATAAATGCAGAACCAGAAAATAATACAGTTACCTTTCACAACGTATTTCATTTTGTCTTCTCACACTGGCAATTGATACATATGATATAAATTAGACAGGTATTGGGTACAGTTAGAAACTTTATTAAGTACCAGTTTCTACTATAAGTATGATTTAATGCATTAAGAAAAAATTTTCCAATAGTGTGTTTTGTAATTAAGAGTAGCAAAATGGAAAGACATCTAAGGCTACCAGTTTTTAGTATTAACTTGTATGCTGACATGTTTTCAATAGATAAATGGTCTAAATTAACAGAATGCATTTCTTTTCTATAAGCGTATAAACTGCTATAGTAAAAAAAAAAAAAAAAAAAAAAAAACCAAAAAAAAAAAAACCCCAGATTGACACTGGCAGATCAAGAATTTTAATTTTTTAAGAAGAAAAATTATAAATGACAAACACTGCATGAACTGTAACTGCATTTCTAGGACCTCCATGTTATGTACTTAATGGATACTTGCTAAAAATAGAATCGTTTACACATTCATTTCTTATTCTATTCATTTAAAACCAGTACAACCTGCTAAGGAAGAACCCTGAACACAATCAAGCCCCTCCTAAAAATAAGCCTGAAGCACAGCTCATTAGTATTTAAATAATGTTCTTGCACACTGCAGACTAAGGGTCTTCTAATATTTTACACTGGAGAATGAGACCTGCAGCTCTAGCAAGCACAGAAGAGACGGGTGGTTCCTACCAGCAAAGGTCTACGTCACAGCAGCATGTAACACTGCCAGCTGAGCAAAGAGCTCACCTGGTGCCAGTCCCTGGTGCTTCTGTGAATTTTCAATATACCAGTTTTCCAAATGTATAGCACTAACTTTTCTAATGTGTGCCTAAAATTTAACTTGGTTTTCATCTTTAACTTTAGATTATCTAAACCAAGTTCATCACAAGAAAAAAAAAACACAGCAGATAAGCTTTTGGACAGTGTCATTTAAAGTATAAGCTAAAAGTAGTTCTTATGCTGAGCAACTATGAATCTGAATCATGTTACAGTAATAAACAGAAAGCTTTTCCTCTTTCTGACAAGAAATTCTAGTTTTAAGTGAACTATGTTCAGTGTGGAGGCCCAAGTCCAAAGATACTGCATTAGCATGATAGCAAGAGAAATAAATGAAACGGAAAGAAGAAATGAGGAAGGACAGGAGCACAGCGGCACTCAGAACGGCAGGCAGTGTTACTCATAATCATGCAAGTGGAACGTTATCCAAATTTCACATTCCTGTTTCTTTGAAAAAATCAAATTCTTCTCCTAGTAGAAATAAAAACTGCTTTGGTCTTTAAAATCCCGATCAAACTTTGTTTTGATGTTAAGATCATGGGTGATTTGAATACGTTTTTAAAAAGGAAAACTTTCAGTAATGAAAGCATTGGTGAGGCTGGTGAGAGGCGACACCTGCTGGAGTCTAACTAGGAACAAAGTATCAGTCATAGAACTCTTTCCTCAACTTTTTTTCCTTGGTTTTTCTCTTTTGCTTTTTGAGACAGTCTTCCTCTCTACCCCAGGGTGGTCTAGAGCTCCAACAACCTTCCTGCCCCGGACTCCGGAGTGCTGCAGTCACAGGTGTGCGTCATCATACCAGCTCTTTCCTCAATCAAAAAGTTTATTTAGGTGAAAATGGTAATTCCTTTCCAGAAAGGGATTTTTATCAATTTACTACAACATTAAAAAACAATTTTAGTTACGAGTTCCAAATCGCTTTTTATAGTAAAAGAATGCGAAGTTTACAGTGGTAAGATTTCTGATTTTCTGTTTGAACTTTAGGCAATTATTTTCCGACCACAGAGGAAAAGAGAATCCAAACCCTGAACTGTGGATGTGCTGGTGGGAGGTGGGACAAGCACCAGTACACTGTGATTTTGTCATACAGATATTACTTAATCTATACAGGATTTTTAAATTAGTTTTTTTCATTCAGATGTTTTACACTGTAATAGCGCCTGTTACATAATCTACTCTGGCCTCTTAATCTGATTTCTTCTAAGGACTATAGTAATGAGAGAGTAGACATCAGGTGGAGAAGAAATCTGCTGAGATGAGGGAGGTGAAAACAGACCTTTAGAAACACTAGTTTTTAAGGTCAGGTAGCCTCTAGTCTGTATTTTTTAAGGATCTCCTACTATACCAAGGACACAATTTGGAAACCATCGGCCTCATATTCTAAAGAAAGATGAGGAAAAAAAGATGTCACAAGAGTCCATTCAGCTAAGTATCATCTTCTCCCCATCTTTAAAAAAAAATTATTATTTTTTTATGTGTATTTTTGCCTACATGTATTTAAATAAACCCCATGCTGTGCAATGCCCATGGAAACCAGAAGAAGGCATCAGATCCCCTGGAACTGGAGTTACCAATGGTTGTTAGATGCCATGTGAGTGCTGGGAACCTAACCCAGGTCCTTGGCAGGAGCAGCCAGTGCTCTAACCTGCTGAGCCATCTCTGCAGGCCCATCTCCTCACCTTTTTAACACATGTGGGGAAGGAGGCCCAAGGAATTGATTTGCCCAAGGCCAGCATGAGGCTTTTTAGTGGAGGAATCAGGAATGAGTATGACAGACTCCCTGAATTCATGCTTTTCACTGAACCTTGCTGCTTCTTGCAGCTTCCCGACAGTCCAGGATGGTCTATGATCTTCAGAGAGCAGAAAAGAGACTCTAAACCCTTGGGAAAAACAAAGAAACCACCACCAACAAAAAAGTGTATCTATACATACATATGCATAGTATCTATAATCCCCTTTCAATGCTATGGACCTCTAAGTCTATCCACTACAATGTGAAGTCCTTGGGCATACCATTAGATTAACCTGAGGGACTGAGAAAGGCCCTGGATCAACAACAGTGAGTAGTCCAGACAAATGCTCAAGATACATGATGCAAGAGCTGGGTCTGTGTGAGGATAAAAAGCATAGCAAGAAAAAGTTTCTTTGGGGCAACCCAGAAGACACATTGGTTCTTAAGAAATAAGGTGAGGTAGCTCAATTTGTTGGAATCCTTCAAAATGTAAAACTTAACAGTTTAAGAAAGTCATAATGGAAACGCAAACACTAACTCTGAAAAGTCAGTAGATAAATGTTCAGAGTTGGAACAAAACTGACTTTGCCTTTCCCACATTGTGTCTAAAAACTCCAGGAATTTACTCTTAAAAATACACTTTATAATACTGAAGAAAGGACAAACAGTATCTTAAATGGCTTAAAGTATTACTTGTTTGAACAAGTTGAAGCCAGCCACTAATGATTCTCCTTGGAGATGTTCAAAAATGAGAAAAGCGGCTTATGATTATGAAAATACCAGCATTATTAAAAAAGAATAGCACCTAGGATTCTCAGGGCGGGCTGAGAAACCCACAGCTAACAGGAGGGGGGATGCACTGGCAGCTGCAAGCACATCTTCGTCTTACGCCTGCTTTATTAGTTCAATCATATTCTAGCTAAGTAAGAGACTGTTAAATAAGAGACTATCTAGTTAAATAAGAGACTGACTCAAGGAAACTATTATGCCTCAGTCCAGCGCAACACCTCTTATCACATCCCCAAGTGGAATCAAGTACTAAGAATAGGTCAGCAAAACTTTTGAAAAAGTCATTACACTTCCTGTGTTCAGGAACCGTATACGTGGTCTCCACAAATGAAGGAAAGCCAATATAATCTTGTGAAATGTGAATTTTGGACAATCATTTCAAATGAAAAGAAAGCAAAGCAAGTCACTTCAAACCACTGCATCTAGAGACTAGAAGGAGCAAACATAAAAGGAAGACACCACAGTCCAGTAAACAAGGAGCCAGAAAGGATGCAACAAAGCCAGCAAAAGTCACTGAAGGCCAATCACCTGCGATTCTCATCCAGCACATCCAAGATCTGCTGGTAAGCCCTACGAGTAGAAGCCTGGATAAGCGACAAAATGCCACGGGCAGAGGAAAGATTAGCTCCATCTTCAGGTAGCATGTGGGGAGGACAGACCCGAGCCTGTGGTGGCGATGGTGTCACACTGTTTACATAAGCACAGCAAATGAAGAAAAAAACACTCAAGTCAGATTTTTGTGAAACTTCAGCAGAGCAGTTTTCACCTGAGTTTTCTTCTCCCCTTTCCCACCCTCACTCTACCCCAAGAAAACAAAAGTTTAACAAACATTCTAAACTGTTTTAAAAAGCAGCTATGACATATCACTTATAACTTTGTAATCTTAAAGATCAAACAAATTGCGTATGAAGGAACAAGCTGGAGAGAGGGAACTAGAGCGAGGTGTGAACTCAGCACTCAGCACTGGGGAAGAGGTGCTCTTCACCTAGTGCAGCACATATTCCAATTCTGTGACACAATTCGCTGAGAAACAGCACTGCATTCAACTTACGGATGCTCAGAAGAGTGCGACAGAGAACTCTGGTATGCAGATACCAACATCTAAACACATAAATCCAACGTGATTCCATGAGGATGCCATTTCAAATACTTCAGAAAGACAATAAAGCAAGCTGGGTTTATAACGGGTAAATGAATTACAGATGAACTAAAATCTCAGAAAACTGTAACAAAAGCAGTTTGACTGTTTAGTTAAAGCAAACATATGTATTCTAGCTAAATGACTAAAACAGAAAACTATTCCCAATTCTGGAAATGCAGCTGAAGAAGGCAAAGGCCATTCTTAAATTACCAAGATGGCTGAAAAGGCATCCTTTCTCAGCTTCTCGGTGATAATAATCACTCTGTCATGTGAGTTGAGATTCACAATGTCTTTTGGTCCATTTTCCTGATAGTTGACCACATTTGGATGAAGCAATGTGTACAGTTCTAATTTTAACAGCTATGTCAGTATTTTCAGAGATCTCTTTAATGCTAGAGCAGGAGACATTTAACTGACACAGGGACCTGGAGTTTCTTTTTACACAGTGAAAGGATCAGGACCTGAGGACCAAGGTTCAACATTCTCAAGGGAAAACTACATTAAGTCAAGCTTAATTCTTGTGTAGTATGTCCAGCAGAAAATAAAAGCAGAGCAACCGGTAAAGGAAAGATTTCTTTTGTGTGCAGTTTTTTCACCTTAATATGTACTAGTTTGGAAAATAAAAAATAGTGGAATAATTTCTGACAGAATAGTTATTGTCATCTAACTTTCCAAAGACTACATAAGAGAAGAACATAAGCCAAATCTTGGCATATTCAGAAATTCATGACCATGGCCTAACGATGTCAAGATAAAGTAAATTTTCAGATGTAGTCTCCTGACTAGTAACTTAAATGTCTGTTCAGAGACCAGTACTCTTCTGCAATATATATAAGCCAACGAATAAACCGACCCATGGGACTTAGGAAAACCTATAATAAGTATCCCAGAAAAGGAGAAAAACAAACAAAACTCATCCTGGCACAGCTGGCATGTGGTCTGAATGCTGGGCTTGTGGTAAACGTCCTCAGTGAGCACAATGAAGGCCTGAAGCTCCTGTGTGTAAGAAGCCAGACTGAGTTCCTGTTTATATGGTGTCACCAGGTGTAGGGCTTACAATGTGTAGGTCTGTGTCAATATGAACAAATAAACCACCTCATATACTTCTTGAGAGAGCTGCAAGCATAACTTATTAAATTTATTTAAGAAAACTTTAAAATAATTAGCATCCTGTCTTTGAGTTTAGAGGTTTACGCTGAATATTTTGTACATCATTCCAGATTAATGAGTAACCTGACTATATAATAAATAGTTTTCAGTATTTCAAATTATAATCTTAAACAACAATGTCAATAAACTGAATCCAAATCTATTAATAAAGTTTGATGGATTTTTGCCCATTAAAATTTAAAAAATTATTTATTATTTAAATTCTAAAAGTAGGCCAAAGATGTAGCTCACTGGTAGATTAATTACTTAGCATGTCTGAGAGAAGCAGGTGGAAGCAGGGAGGGAGGGAAGGAAGGAAGGAGAGAGGGGGAAGAGACCTGAAAACACACACAGGAAAAGAACCGGCCATTTACATAACAGTCCGGCACAAACAAACCTGACACTAATGGCAAAGAATTCTCAAGACAGAATGAGCAGAAAGCTGGATGTTAAAACAATCTATAGGCAATCATTACATATCCAATGATTAATTTTAATGCATATCAGAAAAATCAATTAATAAAAATAAATTAAAAAAACTTGTCCTCTTTCAATTCTAAGACTAAGATCATATGGAATTGGAATATGGTCATAAGCAAGAAAAACCTTACAGATCCTCAACTGCAACTTAGTAATAAATATTTATGTAGAATGATAATGGATGAAATTAACGCCTGCAAAACAAAACAAGATCTTTTAAAAAATGATTTTTTTTCCCCCAGAACCAGAGATCAAACTCAGGGGCTCACATATGCTAAGCAAGTCTTCCATCACTGAGCTGGCTACATCTCCAGCCCATGAAATTAAGTGGTTAACAATACTATCAACGATGGTTAATCAACCAAAAACTATTTAACAGGTTGTTTCTCAAACGAAATGAAAGTTTCAAAGATTGTTAACTTAGGCATGGTGGCACATGTCTTTAATCCCAACACTTGGGAGGCAGAGGCAGGTGAATCTCTGTGAGACTGAGGCCAGCTAGGTCTACAGGGAGCCCCTGTCTCAAAAACCAAAAGCCCCCAACCAAACAAAAGCAAAAACAAACCCCAAACAAAGAAAACAAAGATTAAGAGTTTAGCAACTCAGGCAGTCCTGTATGCTTTTTTACCAAAAATTGCAAAAAGAAAAGAAAAAGAAAAAAAGAAAATTTTACCAATCTGACACCAGTTAGAATCTCCTCTATTGCTATCAACTGTGGAGCAATAGTGTGATTTTCGAACTGGGTTTCACCTCTGTCCGCTCACTATTCAACCAAAGCCTTAGTGGCTTGTTTTTATTTTTCAAATCTGACCAAAAAAAAGCACTGAGATTACTTAAGCAAATATCATGCTTGCTCTAAGTAATTTAATAAAAATACATTTTGATAATACACTGATCTATTAATGTTATAAAGAGCAAAATCTCACTTGCAGTTTTAAATTAAGAACTTCTAAAGAAGCACGCATGCTCCCCACATTATTACATTAGTAATAGCTCTACTCCAAGCTCACATGGAATCCTGCCATGTAAGGGTTAAGTAAACAATGGCTAGTCACTGTCAGAACTAAAGGTTAAACCATAGTTGACTTGGCATAACTCATCACGAGGTAAGTTCATAGTCAAAGAGCTCTCCCTCTACAGGTTTTTGTAGGAATGATGTTTCTCAAACTGTGAGGTTAACCTCTTTGGTTAGGCGTGACCCTCTTTGAAAAAAAAATAGTAAATAGGGAAAAAAAAAGGAAAGGGGAAAAAATTCACCAAAACATAAACTCCATGTTACTTCCCCTGGGACATTTACATAGTGCTAACTAACTTGCTGCCACTATCTGTGAGCTAGCTACTATCTGTGGCAATTCAATTCTTCAAAGCACAGTAACAGGGAACAATTCAGTTCTACAAAGCACAATTCCCAGAGCAACAGGGAAGTGGCTGGTGACCAGTGTGGTTTCTTCTACTATTTAAGAACATTCCCTCTGTGGTGCGTGCGTGCGTGCCTGCGATCCGTAGCCCTGCTGCTGACTGTACACTGCATACCGCATGTCCCCCTTATGAGAGGGCAGTCTCATTCTCGTATCTTGTTTTGTCAGACTTAAGAAAACGTGGGTTCGGTGATCTCAAAAACCACTCCAAGCGTAATTTTAATCTGTGGGGAAAGAACCTCAGAGAAACTATTCCACTGGCAAACTATACTTAAAGCTCCATTTTTCTCTTGATCAAAATAAAAGGAAAGATGGTACGTTGGAATCTAAAAAATGATTGGGATTATTAAACTCAATTAAGTGGCATTTGCAGACAACTAAGAGGCCAACCAAAGCAAAATAAAGAAAATAGAAAAGGATGCTTGGTCTTAATGTGCATAAGCTATCTCATAGCCCTTTCACCAATATACCCAAATCATATGAAAGTTCTTTGATTGACTTCTTTCCTCATTAATAAAGTATAAGGTGGCAGTTTGAGAAATCCTGAAAGTACTAAAAAGCCAAACAGAAAGAAAATTAAGGTATTATATGCCAGTTACATAGTAAAATAGATTAGGAACTATAGAAACGATCCCTAAAAGCAGTCTTTGTAAAACAGGTTAGTATTAACAGAAGCCTGCAAAATTAAAACAACACCAACTTGGGAAAAGTAGATAAAATCTTACGTGTACTCCGGTGCAGAAATCGATCCCTGGAACCTTGAAATTTTATTTCTTGGGGCAGAATCTGATCTGTGCCACCTTAAATAATAATTATGCTTCTTTCACACATTCAGCTTTTATAACAAAGAAAAAGCTAGATGATTCTACTGTCAGAATTCATATTCGTGCCAATAGTGACAATAACCAACCCATTGCCTCTTCAAAGTCATTAAGGAGTACAGCAACGGTCCCCTGCCTGTACTTCTCTCCCTGAACTACAGAATGAAATGGAGGCAGGCACAGGTCCTGGAGAGCTGCATAATCAATGTAGCAAAGAGCAGACTAAAACAGACAAGAGACATCAAAAGCTCAGCAATCACTGCAGCAGATATAAACTGTGGCCATTATCAGCACACTCTTCCTTACCACATAACAATATTCATTATATGTCCACTATACAAAATTCCTAAGATTAATTAGACAGGAGATCTTTAGAGATGAATTCAATTATAAATTGTAAAATTAACAATGGTAAAAGAATGGGAAGACTTTCATTAACATAAAATTTTCATTTTTACTAAGCATCTAGAAAATGCCATGAAGGTAATTTAAAGAAAAGAAGAAAATTAAAATATTAGCTCGCTGTTAATCTTCTGAGCTATGATAAACTTACAGAGAGGGCTTTTTCTCTTTATCTAATTCAGCTATCAATACTATATACTTTGTGATACTAAAATGTTACTTTACTGATATGAAATGTCAAAGATCTAAACAATTAAGTCACAACTTATATTGCAGAAAAACTTACTAAAAACTTCTGCCTTAAAATATATATATATATCTATTACAAGTAGAAAATAACTAAAGCTATTAAGAATATGTTTAATCCATAATATGTAGTCTTTTTACTATTTGTATTATATATTTAGAAATAGTCTAGAAAAATGAATTTATGAGTCAGCTGTATCTTAATCTGTGAACTCGATATCTTCAGGGGAACAAACACTGAGTCATTCTTTAAAAATCGTATTACTAATGGTTGAGCCGTTGAGACACGTCTTCCATGAAGAAGGTATGTGCTCATTTTGCTCCATTTCTTCATGTGTGACTGTAGAACAGCTGCGACTACAGGAGTCTCTAAGCAAGCGAAGCAGTCATGGTTCTCCTGTACAGCTCACATAAGAGAATACAACCTCAACAAAGCAAGCAAAACTCCACACAGAAGCTGCGAGTTCACTGACTGGATGGAAACACCAGCGAATTTGTCCCTAAGGACTCTTTCAAAGCAAGACTTTTCTCAACTTTGAGTTATTAAAGCCCTGCCCTTATCAGAGCCTATTCCCTAACCCTGTACTAAAATACAGCTTAATACAGTATACTGAAAGATTAATAATTGTATTGTGCTCTAGTTGTTTTGTCTATAAAGTTGAATACCCTGCTTTACTCTGGATTTGCAAGCTCTCAGGAGTAGAGGTGTGCCATCTCCTGGTGCTTTCTGAGTTCCCAGAGAAGCTGACATGATGTTTGACATCACACAGGGTTCCTGGAGACTTCATGGAAACTGGCCAAAAGATTAATGAGAAAAGAATATTCACCATGGCGCAGAGGCAGGCAGATCTCTGTGAGATCGAGGCCAGTTTGTTCTACATAGTGAGTTCCAGGCCAGCTGGGGCTGCAGGGAGACCATGTCTCAAAAAGACAAAAAAAATCCCCCTAAAAAGGGAATATTCATGTATATGGTATATAAAAGAGATCAGACACACAGAAGAGAAAAATGTTACTCAAAAATTCTCACAATTAACAAACAGCCAGATTTCATGAGTATAAAAAGTACTGGAGAAATACAAAGTGCCATCAATGTAAAGCACATTTCAAATACTATGAGAATTAATTAGAAGACATGTAGAGACAATACGCAGGAGAAAGTTAGGAAGAAGAAAACGCTCAGCGAGTCCACTCACATAGAGTCGTTCCTGACCAGCTGTCCATTCTGGCGAACAGCATTTTCACTCATAGAGCGCTCTCTTTTTAGCCTGCCAACTGCTCGAATCTGTTAAGGCACAAAGAAGGGGAAGGAAACCAAATATTCTTAGTAACCTAGAAGCTATTTAGCTTTAAAAGAACCTTAGGAATTCTACTCACAAAAACTACAAGGAAGCAAAGAAAAGCAAACCAAGAAGCAAGGCATGTACATCGGACAGGAAAGACTTACTTTTATTTTTCCTCTGTGTAGATACTTGTGTATGTATATAAAAGCCTGTGTGTGCATGTGTGTGGAGCCAGAGGTTGATGCTGAATATCTTCCTCAATCACAATCCACCTTATTTTTCAAGATAGGGTCTCTCACTGAAGCTGGAGCTCACTGATTGGGTGAGGCTAGCTAGCCAGCAAGGCCCTGGGATCCTCCTGTTTCCATCTCCCAGACCTGTGATTACGATATATGTTACTATGCCTAGTTTTCCATGAAGGTTTTGGGGATCAAACCTAGGTCCAAATTAGCCTGCATGACAAGCATTTTACTGACTGGGCCATCTCCCTAGCCACGGGACTTGTTTTTAAAAACCCATGCTGATATAATGCAAATAAACTTAGGAATGCCTATTTACCTTTGAAAAAAAGCTACCCTAGTTTCTTTTCAAGTAAGTATCAATTTAAGTTGGCACAACTGTCCCCTGCTCTCTGAACCTGCAGGAGATTGCTTCCAGGACCCCCCAGATAACATAAGCACGGGATGCTCAAGTACCTCATGTAAAATGGCACAGTATTACAGGAATCTTCCCTGTACTTTAAATCATCTCTACATTACTTACAGTACCTAATGGATTAGAATGCAAAGAGTATATAAATAAGTGACACTTTACCATTTAGGAAATAATGACAAGAAAAAGGTCTGTACGTATTTAATATAGACTCGGCCACTCTAGTACTATGTACTAAGTACACAGAACACAAGCAGGATGCAAGGCAAACAACGATCAAGCCATGGGTGCTGAGCAAGGCTGAGGTGCATCTGTCTGAAAATACAGAAGTCAGTCTAGAGCCTCGTGCAAGAGTCTTTTAAGGTTAACCTCTATAAAAATTTTATACCCCACAATCATGTGTACTTTATTGGTGCACAGTGAGCAGTACTGAGTTGGTAGAAGACGATTGGGTTGGTACTTGCCTCCCTGCTATAGTGGAGTTTACAGCTGCTTTCTTTAAACTACAACAGCTTTCCCATATGGCAGGGGAAATCAACAGTTCCCTGGCTTTAGGCTAATTCCTAGAAGTTGGGTCACAGAATCTTCTGTGTCTAGTTATGCAGTATGTAGTAGGGGACAAATGATGTACAAGTGGGTAATATTTCCTTATAATGTGCTTAAACTCCAAGCTATATTTAATTATTCATAAACTAAAAAAAAACCAAAAAAACCCTCTAAGACCTTTGCTCACCAGTACTCTAGATTTGTATTAAGCCTTTAACAATCTGCTCAAAATTTAAAAAACAAGTTAGTTTACTATTTTTAGAAAGTGGTATGGTTTGTATGACAAGTTACATGGAAATCACAGGTTAAAAAAAAAGATCTGGTAATTAACAAATAGTAAAGGCCAAAGTAAAAGACTGAGAACACCCCTACCCCTAAAAAAGTTCAAATGCCTTAGCATTTGCCTTATACTCCTTTTTAAATTTTGTTTTTGAAGGCAGTGAGGCCAAAGTTGGCCTCCAACCTGTGATCTTCCTGTTTCAGCCGTGGAGTGCTGGGATTGCGGGTGTGCATGACCCCTCCTGCCTTCATTCTTGTTTTCTCTGGGACGTTGATTGGAAAAGAGGAAAAATGTGGTCAGAACAACTGCGATGAGTATACTCCCCTTTCCAAACAGGATCAAAGTTCCAAACTTATTCTAAGTTTGCAAGGCTGTGATAAGGGTCTGTGGGAAAGAACGCAGAGCAATGCATGACACTGCAGACACCTTGCTTGTGACAAGAAGGGCACAAAACAGATCTAGACAAAATGTTGAGTGCACATGGAGTATTCATGGTGCACGTACACATATAAAAGCATAAAGCTGCTTTCATTTTCTTCTTTTCTGCTTACTGCATTCCTAGCTCTTCGTCCCATGAAGGAGGAGGAGGAAAAGGGAGTTAAACAAATTTGCACTGAGTTGTGACTAGACTTATCTGTCAGCTTCTTGATTTTGTAATTCAGTGTGTGTCTAGTCTTCTGCATCTGTTTTAGGTAGTGAGCTCAGTGGTATCATTGAAGTGGCTTATCATACTTCAAATCAGCTACAGAGTTTTGGTCATCCTCAGAATGGTTTATCAATCGGCCTGGGCCACCACAGGGCACTGAGAACCCCCTGCAGCTTCCTTACAGTAGGGACTGCTAGGGACAGCTTTCTGATAGACATGCATCAGCCTCGAGTCACTGCTCTCTAAGTGCAACCTACGATGAGGCTGGTTCAAGCAAGGTATGATTTCTCCTAGTTCTTGAGCTCTGCTCACTCTGCACACAACTGGCACACACTTTCACTTACAGCTCCTGTTAAAGCCTGCATAGCTTGAAGCTCCTTTTCTGAAATCATTTGTTGCTTTTGCTTTCTTCCAAAACTGGATCTTACAAGACCAGCTGATTTTGCTTTTTCTGAATCATCTCTGACACTTCTCAGGTACATGTGGGGTTCGGTGCTTTTCTGATTTATTTTACAAATCGATGGCATTCTAGTACTTTTCTTTGAAGCAGGAATAGCCAATCTGGGAAAAGCTCTCACAGCCTGTTTCTACATCAGTGAGCCTCTCAAACAGCTTCTGGCATACATCTTAGCTCATCTTTTCCAAGCATACTGCTGCTTGACTGATGGGAGATGATGGGAAGTCCAAAACTTTGGCTTGAACACACCGCTCAAGGTATCAATTTTATAGGTATCATTTTCCAATTCTTTTTCTTCACAGCTCTTTGGTCATGTTCTTTGAAAGCTCTACCAACAGCTCTAGTTAAAACTCCTTTTTGAGAAGAGGTAGGGTCAGTGTCAAAGCCTCTTGCTCCCTATTCACACGGCTAGACCCACTGTAAGAATCTTGAAAATGGCCATGATTCAGGTACTCTGGAGTGTCAGATTCAGGTCACAGGGCTCACTGTGGAGTTGCCTTATTAATTACTGTAGGGAGGGCAGTCAGGCAATGGCTTTGTCCTAAAGCAAAGATTGAAATACTGAGAGTCCATCACTTTCCTCTCACTAGTTAGTAAAGAACTTCACATTTCTCTGTGTGCTGATGTTCTCTCCTCACTCACCCCAGTCCTGTAGGGTTGGGGGTAGGCAGCAAGCTTCCCAGAGCAAGACCAGGCATCACACAGCTTTACTGCAGTGTTCATACAACAAAGGCTCAAAATATGGTTGTAAGTACAATTGTTTATGTATCTTGGTAACTTATTTGTCACAATAAACACTTGAATTTCGTGCTTTTCACTAAGCAAATAAGATGTTCAAACTGGTACCTATGAGCATATTCTACCAATGACCTCAGTAGAAACTTAGAACCTAAAAAATCAGCAACACTTAGGGTTAGGAAACTGTGAAGTCCTAGCTTACGTGAATTCTTAACCTTCATGAAAAATGAAATTTGACAGGAGTGCCAATTTAATAAAAATGTATGTTTGTACATTGTCTCCGAGGAAAGAAACTTCAGGGGCTGGAGGGATGGCTCAGCAGTTAAGAGCACTGGCTGCTCTTGCAGAGGGCCTGGGTTCAGTTCCCAGCACCTACATTGT